AATTTATAAATTGTTCTGAACTTCTCATTTTGCTTCTGCACTACTGTCAGTCTATATTAAGAACTGCAGCTTTATATGATATAAACTTTGATTAGAGTTTGATTAAACTTTGATAGATACTTTGATTAATAGCACTGTATGAAGAAGCCAGAACAAACTCCTCCAGGGGCTGATGAAGAAAAAAATGTCAAGTGCTGACTAGCCAGCATAATATGCAGTAAACAGGAATGAGAAGCTAATCTATAATTTAAACAATGTGTTAATTAATACAGCATCAATAATGAAATCTGTGGTAAATCCAGGGAGTAATCTTGTCTATCTGCTCATCTAGGAGCAGCTAGAACACCATGCCCTTGTGTAAGAGGACAATAACTCCATGCTAACGGACAGGAGTCTCTTTACAAACAGCAGGATTTTTTACTTGCTGTTTTTTACTAATTTTAAGATGGGAAGTCTCTCTAAAATCAAATGCCATAGTGGGAAAATTGAAGGAAGTAAAAGGAGAATGCAAAGGGATGACTGCCAGTCTATGGGTGTGATTCCAAAACAAGGCGTCACAGAAAGGGACAGCCCTGACCTTCATTATCCACCCTGACGCCATGTGCCCCCTGCCTCCCCAGGGCTGGCATTGCTGGTCGTGTGACACCTCCCCTGCCCCAGGGGGTCCAACTGGGTCATGGTGAGCCTCAGTGAAGTTAGTAATGGGGTAAATAAAAGTATCCGAGAGACCCAGCATGCAGCCATGGGAATGCCAGCAATGCAATAGAAACACACAGCTTGGGTGAGGTGCCAGCAGGACTCTCCATGATTAAATCAAAGATTTTTAGGGCTGGCTTGCAGGTAGGTTGGCTTCAAGTGATTTCAGAATAGCCAATTTGCCGGTCCAGGTCTGTCTATAACTTTGTCAATCCTAAAACCTGTCGAGCCAGCAGAGTAAATGTCGTAAGATGTGGCCATTATGCTGGATGTCCAGAGATCCAACCAAGGAGGAGTCTTGTAGCCTTCAGACTGATTTTACTGTGTCAGCAAATCTGCCTAATAGTTTATGGCAGTTTATCAAGGAAATGTTTGCTTTTATATCAAAGACTGAAACTACTGCTAATTTACTAAATGGCTTGGATGGTGGAGGCATTTTTAAGGGAATTACACGTAACCTTCTGAATTTATTGGGGTAATCCAATAATCCAGACACTTTCAACTTCAGTATTTCAGTTCCCTGTGACTTGGAGGTAGATCCAGTGCAGGACCTGGTTGCCCAGCCCTGGGAGCAGAACTGAAAATGTGGGGTGAATGGCCCAGGCCCACAGGGAGTTTTAGGCAGTTGTAGAAATGCTACAAGGCTGGCACTGAGATCAGTACCAGTTAGACTATTGCTGTTAGACTGTTTCTGGTAGCTGAACTACCTCACCTACAAACAGTTCAGACACTTCTATCCCCATATATGTCCTTATGCAAACAGATGGATGCAGGATGAGCACCAGTTGTTTCCGTGGACTTTCTGTTCTTGCTCCCCCCACATGCAGAACTACCCCATTCCTCATACAGTTCCCACCAAGAATAGGACTGGTGAAGCTTGTGGCTCCAACCATGAAGCTGCTTAGAACATGACTTTTCTACAGAGTAATTAAAGGAGACGAGAAAGAAAAAAAAAGGCAAACAAAGAAAAAAAGCAATGCAGTTGGGAGGTGCTGCTGGTTCAGCAGAGAAATTGCTGTGGGAGTGCTGTGCTCAGAGCACATGAAGAGACAGGAAGGGAAACTAACTCCCATGAGGAAATGACTGAGGAATTATTTATTTTCAAGGCACATCTGTCTTCTAGAGAGTAGATATTTCTTCAAACCCAAAGGAACAGCCAGGGTGGAAAAGGTGGACATAATGGGGAGTTAGCACAGCTCCAGCTTAGTCCAGCATCATACTGAAGTTGTTTGTCTTCCTGAGGAATGAGCACTGAGAAATCATCAGCTTCCCCCATAAACCATTTCACTTCTTCCAGTCTGGAAGGGACCTGGCTGCTGGTTGTTGGCAGAATAAGAAAGATCATTGACTCTAATTGTGCCAGGTTTGATGAAGTCTTAAAGAAAAATCAGATTTTTAGATAATAATTTAGATACTGTTTTATCAATACTCAGATTTGTCTGGGTGCCAATGCAGAAGAGAGATGACATTCCATAATGACTGTCTGTGGCCTCCCCCATAAGCATTATTCTGCTGCAGCAGTCATGGTACAGTGGTACACAATCCTTGCTAGAAGTTTATATTTCAGTTTTTTAATTCGTGCTTGGGGAGCCCAGGCAAGTGCTAAAGGATCCTGTGTGCAACCTCTGGGCTTTTGAAGTGGCCCTCACTGCAGTGTATGGAACACTGAGAGGGGAGGTTTTGCACACATTGCTCAATATTTTTCTTAAGGATGTATGTACGTGCCTGTATGTATTTCTTACCTTGATTAGCGGGGCTTAATTAGGGCTGAAATAAGAAATAATCCACACCTAGCCAATACCCATTACAAATTGGAGAATCTGCAGTCACAGTGACAGCATTCTGTTGGGAATTACACTATTTTGGTGCATTTGGAATAGAAAATATACAGTTTTGTTAAAAAAAATATTTATCAGTTTTTCTTGCGGTCATTAATGGCTTGATATTAGAAATACCCTGCTTACAGACCAAGACATTTCCAGTATCATTCATTTCCCATGCCAAATTTGTGGTTTGTGATGGAAGTGTACTTTTAAGAACGTGGACCAGTGATGGCACTTATTAGTTGTCATGATAACTTTGTCCTGTGGGACAGAGAACTAAAAGAACAATAATAAAACTCAAGTAGCATTCTCTAAACAAAGAAAATCAATCAAACACTCTGTTTATTGATCCATGCTAGAAATCTCTGTAACAGGCTCAGTGACTGGACAGCTAGCTGAAGCATATACCTTATGGCTAGGCCTTTTAAAACACCCAGTTGTAGCATGATAATACTGAGAGAAATTACACTCTCTTTATGCAGCCTCACAGCAAATCTACCATCCTATAGCGCAATGCATTATCTGTAACATTTCTTCAAAAAAGGAGAGAGAACACAAAAAGGATTTTCACAGCTGACTATGTACTAAAACATTAGCTTTCATCAGGGGAATATAATGGTACTACCGTTTAAGAAAATGCTACAACATTGTTTAAGTTTCTTAGTTGTTTTTTTTTGGTTTTTTTTTTTTTTTTTAAATGGAGCCTTTTCTCCTCAGAAGATGAAATAAAATGGGGGAAGAGAGGATAAGTAAATATTTTCAGCCTTCTCAGCTGAAATCCATAATTATAGTTTTATTCCTTTCTGGTTTCTGATACATAGATTTCACAGAGCTGATTGCAGGCTTCAGGAACCATTTTTGCCTTTTAAATGGAAGCATTTCAGGTTTTCTCTAATTAACAACCACTTGCAGAGTACATCACAGGCTTAGTGCCTACTCACCAGCCACATTTCTCATAGACAGATCTGTTGTTGCACTAAAAGGAGGGCAAGAGGTCTTCTGTATTAATAGTTTATGAAGATAGCTAAATTACAGCTGACCATACAGTATTCTAGCTATGTTCTTCTCCTAAGCCTCTTTCTGGAATCTCTTTTACTGGGGGGACAAAGCTTCTTGAAGTGATAATACCTTCTCCTGAATGATAGCAGTTTGGACCAGTTGGTGTGGGGCAGCATAATTTTGAGAAATAGATGTAGGAAGTGCTTAGGCAACCTTCCTTGTACAGAGCACCAACTAATTAAAATAGAAACTTTGGCATTCTTTTCCCCTTAAGGCGACAGAGTTTTAGATCTAAAGAAACAAAACCAGAATATACAGAAAGCAGGACAGCTGTTGTTAGGCACAGTTCAAAGGGGAGGTAAATGACAAGCCTCTGATTTATCCACAGGAAACTGCCCAGAACTGAGGTCTTTACACAGTTACCTACTTTGTTCCCAGTCCTTTTTCACCAGATCAGTCTCACTTTCATGTTACTTGTAATAAGATAACTAGACACAGAGCTTCTTGGAGCAAGGTGCTGTCACAGTTTTATCTTGTACAGTGGCAAGAACGAGTTGTTTTTTAAAAACAAATGGCAAACCCACTGCATTTCCTTCCTTTCCCTGTCTTTTTGCTCCTCCTTCCCTCCTCCCTTAACTCCTCACTGCCTCATGACATTTGTGTCACCTTCTGGATCCCATTCATTCTTATTCACCTCATTCCCTTGCCAATAATTTCTGCCCAGGTGCAGCCATATGGCAAAACAATGGTGCAGTACGAAAGGAAAGCTGTCAGGAGGTAACCAAAAGGAGCATCAAAAAAGCGGCAGAGAAGGAGATATTCTTATATTTGTATTGCTGACTGACAACCACTATGGCAGGATATGCATTCATTTACCATTTTAAAGAAGAAATCATGCTTGCTGAAAGCATAAACCTTAGAAGAAAGCCCAGAGCTTGAAGGAATGAATATTGTTGTAATGCTCAAGAGCAGCTGACTTGTATTATTTCAGATAAACATAGCTGAGAACTGATGGACATGTATTCCACAGACAGTGGCATTTTCCTCACAGAATAGCTGTTTTCTGCTGTGTCATCTTCTGTTTTGCATAATACCATATGAACTTCATTACTGCAGTTTGGGGGGTTTTGAACATTCACAGAAAGAAGCACAGGGAGAAGAGCAATAGTTTGATTGATGTAGTTTTCACATTGGCCCAGTGGATAATCATAAGAGCTCTTCTATTACAAGGACAAGCAGAAAGCAAAACATTGTAAATCCTACCCATAACCCAGGGCCAATAAGAAAGGCTAAAAATTCCAACACCACACGCTTTCTTGACAGAGTCATTGTTAACAGCTTAATAGCAGCTAGCAGGCAAGATCTGCTCTTATGCCAGGAGTACAAGACACACAGCATTTTGAACGAAGGGTAAATAATGTATGTAGAGAAATTACATTTTCCTAAAAAGATAAAAACCAAATAGATTAAATGAACCCCTACCTTGGAGAGCCTGAAGTGTGCGAGTCTGTACAACAATACAGAGTTGCAGGACCAGCTGTGGTGCACTTTCCAGAAACGTGGCTAGCAAATGCAGCATACTCACATCTGCATACTCATACACCATTTTCCAATAAAACCGCCATCTGTCATTCTCTCCACTCCGTCGACTCCGGATACCCAAGTATATTGTGTGAAAATACCTAGAAATAAAAGGCAGAGGTTATAGAAATGAAGAACAATATTTTACAGGTAGCACTTCTGCTTGGAAATAACCAGCATTTTTTCAATGTACTTCAAAATAATGAACATTTATTTAAAGGTATTATTGTACTGCAATTTATAATAGTTGATGCGATAAGAGTAAACTAAACTGAAGACAAGACTTGCCTTCATAAAACTATTTTAAAAGCTTAGCATTGTCTTATTAGTTAAATAGGATTCCTCTCAAGGACTCAGTTTTCTGAATTGAAACATAAGGAGGATGTGTTGATTATATGGCCTCCATCAGAGTTTTTTCAAATAATGCAGGGAAGAAACCTGATTCTGCAATGTTCTCTATTCAGAACCTGCAAAGAACTGATCTCCTTTCTGTGTGGCTCTATGTGGACTCAGAAGACCACCTGCACTGCAAGCCTGGGGTGTTCTTAGCTGGAGGCCTTGCTATGACTGAGCGCCTTGTCCTGTTTTTCCATCCATCTAATGCATTGGATATCATATTTCAGATACTGCCAAATATATAGTGCTTTTTCTCATAGTATGATTATTTTAGGAGGAGAGAAGATGTAGCTGTGAGTTCCTATTTTAGGAGGAGCAGGGATCTGGCTGTGGGTTCCCTTGGTGATTAGAAGTGACTCACTACAATAACTCCCGTGCAGCAGCAGCAGTAAGAAGAAGCAGGAGCCAGGAGCCCAACAGGCTGCTGCTGCTGGCAATAGTAAGATGAGCAGATGAGAGAAGTAATGGCCAGAAAGCACCTGTCAGCCCTCGTGGCCTGTGCAAGCTGGGGGAAAGACATCTGGTGACCAGCTAATTAAAGAGATTTCAGTGGGTACAGGAGCAATGAGTGGTTTTAGAAAGCACAGGGTGTCTTCTGATGGCCAAGCCACCCAGCTGCTGTGATGCTTTCTGTGACCCTTGCAGAGCTTGCCACGGTCTCCCATGAAACACCTGTGTCACTACACAGTGACCACTCTGGGTGGCCTTTGATCTGCTCTGTTACTCTAATCTGCTCTCTGTTACTCTGTGTCAGAATGTCTAGGGGTCCCACCATGCTCCTACAATTTTAGTTCAAAAGTAATTAAGGCTGGCTGAAAAAAAGTCTTACTTAATGAAAAATTCTGAAGATTAAGATGCTGTCTTGCATCAGGGTGTCTTGCATCCTGCTGGAGTGCCCTGTTGGGCAACTAACTGATATGGATCTCTGTTTCTCTTTTTCTAGATGTATCTTTCACATCTTGGTCCTGAAAACATTTCCTTATGATCTTTTTAATATGCTATCATAGCACTTTTTTTTTTTTTTAAGTGAGATTATATTTGCTAATAAGGAAAACTTTAGTAAATTTTAACCACTTCCAATATGAATTGTTTTAACTGGTTAAGATAAAACATTTCATTATTTCTCTTCCTTTTCACAAGTTTTCTCTAAAACCCTTTTCATAACTGGTGGAGCATGGTGAACTGTGGAACCTCTTTTTATATAGGCTGTATGCAACCTTTCATCCCTCTTCTGTTCAGTTGTAACTCTGGAGGTATATTTTGCCAGTGAGATTTTTGGCCTCTGACTGGTGAACAGTCCAAGACTCAGTTGCCCCTCAAAGAATCACTACTGTGTTTGTACCCAATGAACCCTTGTACCCAATGCACATGCCACTGCAGAGCAACAGCTTTACTCAGGAATATGCATCAAACAAAACCAGGGAGTAGCACAGAGAAACAGCTGAGAGGCCAGATCTGAGTCTGCAGCATTTCTCTTGACAATGCACATCACAGCAATATAAAAGGAAAACACATTAAATTCACATTTAAATTAAAATCACACCAGGTGGCTTTGAATTTTATCAAAGTCCTACGTGGGAGTGAAGCAGCAATGAACCACTCAGAGATTGAGATCACAGAGGTACAGTAAACAGACACCAACCCTACCTCTCATGCAAAACACTAAGCAGGTCTAGGTGGGTCAGAGTATGATGGGACAACAGGGGCTCTTCGATGTCCTTCAGGGTTAGGTAAAGTGAAATGGCCTGCTGCCAAACCTGAAAGAAGCCACTGAGCTGGAAAGGCATCTTTTGCTCCGCAGTTCTGCTAATGGGTTCCGTTGGACTCTCAGGTTCTCAGTCACAATCAGTTTAATTGTTCCTAGATCTCTCATTAGTGTCCTGCAGCACAACAAGGGACAGGTAAGACTTGGATTTCTTTCTGCAGTTTGATTTTCGGGTGGGGTTTGTTTGGCCTGCATCACGTGCTCCCAAGGGGCACACCTGGGAATACTACATATAGGGGGGGCAGACAGCACCTTCAGCATCCTTCTTTTGAGATATCACTAATCCTTGCTATAAATACCTAAAGTAACTTTGGCTGCTGAGGGTTGTGCCAGGAGGCTCTAGCTCTGCCAGTGGAGCCATCTGCAACTTCAGTTCTACAGCATTTGTGCAAAAAATACTTTTCCTATTATGAAAATGACATGCTGTGCCAGGCAATGTCCCCTAGGGTTCTTTACGTGCTCTGCAGAGTGGTTGTGCATGGCAAATACGTTGTGATTAATGAACCCTTATGGAAATACTTCCTCTCTCATTGCACTTTATTGTGAAGCACTGGCAGTGAGTTATTGGGGACTGGGGAATCATTGCATCTTTGTCTACTTAGCTCTGCAGTTTAGACACAAGAGGCAGAGGAGGAAGATACTTTCTCTTTTTATACACTGGGGACCAAATTTCAGCCTAGGGTGGTATTTTTTTCTGTCCTATCAATTTTGGCCAAATTAATTGCAGGCTGAAATGAGCATTTACACACATAATTACTGTCACTGATTTATAGGCACAATCAGGTGATTAGACAGCTAAACATTCTCATTTGCATCCACAATTAATTGCACCAGCAATTGATGTTAGGTGTGCAAATTAGCAGTTATTAAAATAAAAAGATGGTTTCATAAAATGCTTCATCTATCAAAGACACTTTTTTCTCCACAGTGAAATAGAAAGAAGAAAAAAAAAAAAAAGGAGAAAGTGCTTTTCTTGTTGTGGTTTCCAAATATAGCTTAACACTGCAGTAATGACACATTCCATTATATATATATACACATTATGTAATTGCATCTTAGACAGCCTCACTGGAGTCCTATTGTCAGCAACAGACACACTCAGAGGTAATTCCTGCCCTGAAGAGTTTTTATATGTTGGTCTTCTGGTATTGCCTTTGTGGAAAATCACATTTTTCCCTGAGTCCAGGTTGTGGGTCTTATAGACAGTTATTCCAGAAAGATATAGGAAGAAGTAATAACAGCTCTGCATCAGAAAATATCTTACGTTCATTGTAAGGTAAAATGATGCCAATGAACCTGAAAGAGCAGATGTGAATGTTAAGATTTTGGTTGTGACTGCATTCAGAGGCCTCAACTAGTCTTGTGCAGGTGCTGTACAAATACACAAAAATTGCCTATCCATTTCCCCAAAGAGCATTTAGCTGACATGAAAAGAAACGACAAGGAGTGAAGAAGTGAGAGTTAGGGCACCAGAGGAAGAAACTAAAAGAAGGAACAGAAAGTATGGTAACAGTACTGCCATCTAGTAAAATAATTACTTCATCTAATAAGTCAAGATAGTCCATTAAAGTTTCTGATTTCACCAGAAAAGTAAAAAACAAATAAAAAACTCCATCTTCACCCCAAAATCCGCAGTTTCATAGCTCTCATATTTGTGGAGAAAAGCTTAGAAGTAACTGAGTTTCCTAAAGATTTTACAGTTAGAAGACTATAAAATGTACTATGAAAAAGCAACATCAAACCTTATTATTTTAAAATAACTCTGGTTTTTGTTTTTTGTTCTTTTTTTTTTTTTTTTTGGTTCTTTTTTTTTAAAGCCAGACCACTGCTTGGGTTGTCAGTGCTGATATAAACAAGCTTAATATTCAGAATGAAGACAATGGAGTAGGAAGCAATACTGCCTATACCGCTGATAATCAGATGGCAACATATATATCTTTATTTGAGGCTTAATGTCTTTTTTACCCTCTGGAGGAAGTGGAGAATGCTTCAGCATTTAATTGTTTTAATTTACTTCAGTACATCACTCAGCACAGTATACAGACCACTGATAAAGCATAACCCTGAAGGATATGAATTTGAGACAAGATCACAAGTGACATTCTTTTTCCATTATATTAATGAAGGAAGGCAGTAAAATAAAAAACAAACAGAAAGTCAGGTTAGTCCTTGTGCTGCTCACAAGAACTGTTCAAGATGCAAGACAAGTAGAAGAAAAACTACCTATATTTGTAGGAAAAAAGATATTTCTGTTCTAGGGAAAGAGGCATTCATTCTGATCAGACAGTGGGTCTCCAGTGTTTCCAAAATCAAGTGTCCTCATTTTGCTTTAGATTTGCATACCAGTCTTGAGGATGGTCAACATAGACTGAGATACCTACATTTGAAATACTTCTGGTGACACTTCAGTTACATGATTAAAGCATGCCCAATTGTGCATTTAATTGCGATGTAGTGTAATTATATGATAATACCAAATATTTATAGGAATGCTTTCCAAGTTTAAAGTGCTTTACGAACATTAATTGCTTATCTGGATTGAATGTAAATAATCACACAGGATTCATTCACCAGGAACTGGCAGCTGACTAACCTAATACCCTCCTGCAGGAGCAAGGTATAGCTTTTACTCAGGAGACTCAAATCCAGGTAAGATTTCATAAGCCTGTGATGGGTGGGGATGAGTTGTCCTTTTCTTGTGTGAAGAAAAATCTCCCTCCTTTTCCCCTTATTCTTAGGAATGTGATATTCTGTCCTGAATTTGTGGATGAAAAACCTTCTCCTCAGCTCTTGCTCCTGTACAAGTTAGGCAACGAGGCTACAGAATATTTTCCAAACAGGATGTAATTCCTCAGAGCCAGATGTTCTGGAAGAGAGAGCTGAGATGACACTGGCATCGAGGCTAAAGGTTTCCA